AAATTCGACTTGACTTGATTGGAAGACACAACTTAGCTTCAGGCACAAAAGGGACTGGCGAGGCTTGGCATTCGGTTATGGCATGGCTCAGCTCAAAACAAAAGGGACGCGATTCAAAGCCAGGTTGCGTTGCTGGTCGGACGTGAATATGGTAAAACACACGGATTCCAAGCGAGTCAAAAGTTCTCCTAAACGTTGTTATTTAATAGTGGTATAAAAGGGCTAAATTTTGCTTTTTGCTTCAGAATTCTCCTGTACCTTCTCTCTCTTCTTGGTTTCCTGTGTTTCTCCCTCTACAAATTCAACCGGCAAAAGCAAACAAACCCAAAACATGATGACTATTTCCAAAATACGGCAAAAATCCCAGATTTTGCTTGCTGGAACCCTCAAATATCATCAAAAAATTCAATGATTTTTCCAAAAAAAAAATCCAAAGCTAGAATCCAATTCCAAAAATTCCCAATATTCCATAGAAAACCCAATAGAATATCCAATCAAACCAGAAATTGAATCCTAATCCAAAAATCCCAAAAAAATAAATCCAACCCAAAAATCTCATAACCAAAATGAAACCAAACAAAAATTCTGATTGCTAGACCATTAATTGGTTAATTTTCTTGCCTTTAGAACCTTGCTTTGATTTTGATCAATCAATTTTTGGGCTTTAATTTCCCTTTTAATCCACTTGAATTCTAGGATTTAATCCCTCAATAGAATTGTCTTTCTTGATTTTACTTTTTTTTATTTTATTCATTTTCCACGAAATTTTTTAAAAATGAAAAAACAAAAAAAAAAATTAACTGTTGGACTTAAAATCCAAAAGAAAATTATAAACTGGGCTTAAAGCCCAAACAATAATTCAAAACCCAATGATTATCCAAAAATCATCTCAAAATACTAACAAGCTGAAAACCGAATCAGCTAAACATATGGATTATTTTATTTAAAGCTCCAAACGGAAAGGGCTGTCTATAGGTATGATGCCTCTTATCTTGACCAAAAAAAGGTTGGACAATCTATCTTCTTTGAAATTATTTTTTAAAAAAAATAAAGAGTAAATTCCTTATAAAATTAGAGTAAAAAAATATATAAGAAAGATTGTGAAAAAGGAAAAAGAAAGATTAAGGGTTAGGCAAATGTCACTATTGATCTAACTGCCCATATGAGACAATATTGAAAGAAGGCCCAAACACAGTGGCTCACATCACATGCACCAGGAGACTGCGGATTTGCTGGGGTCGTACTATCTAATTCATCATGAGAGTGGAAAATGCCCAAATTTATTGCCCATGTGATTATGAGCTTTGAGGCTAAGGCACTGTCACAAGCCTTTGGAAGAAAAAAGATTAATTTGGAACGAAGAAAAAGACACAATTCCACTTATTTTCATTTTTTCTTTTTATTCTTCTCTTACCAAATTAAAGAAAATGAAAAAAAAAAAAAAACTTTCCTTCTTAATTTCATCTTTGTTTTCCAACCAAACATAAATAATACTACTCTTAGTCACGCGCAAAGTATCCTCAAAATTAACCAACAAGCTATTGCCATGTATTTTCTTCTCAAAGGTTACAACCCCATGTTGGTGCCCCCAACCAAATGTAGTCTTCCTCTGCATCATTTGTTCATTCTCAGAAACAAATAAAAGTGAGGGAGGCAGGAAGCAACTATCAGAAACGTTAGCTGTCTCATGGTCACAATGCATTTTCAATCAATAATCTTTCAATGTACTTATCAAACCTTGTCTGTATAGCATTAAACCAAGGAAGCTATGGTTTGCAATCATTTTCAACAAAATCAAGGTTTTGACACGTAATTTTTGACTGAAATTTAGAACATATTCATCAATCTAATTACCCGCATAATCATTAAAAAAAGGGTTATGATTAACGTTTAAATGAGTTTAAGTGCATGTTTAATAACGATTAAATTATTGTGATGAAGACGTAACATGCGCGTGATATTAGTCACGAGATGGTTTGTCCACGTTTAGGTCGATTTCTCGATTGCCTCCAATCACTTAAATATCATTGGTTATTTTATTCAGCAGCCATGAGCTCAGATTTTGGCCACAAAAACAAAAGATTTAATTAATGAAAATCTTCCAAGCTTGGCCACGACTGGTACCTGAATCTGATTCTGATAGACATGCATGAGAATGGGATAAGGACGTCTCACCTTACATTATATATATATATATATATATATATATGTTGTCTGAGCCAGAAACAATTCTGCTAGAAAATTCTAGAAAATCAATTGTTGAAGTAAGAATGATTAATGAAGTAATACAAGCAACAAGTTCACACAGCAATTGGACTTTGCTATTTTTCATGGTTTGTCGTTCTCAGTGCCGACTCATGCAGAAGAATGATTGGAGAAAGATCCTATTACACTTTTGACCCTTTGCAGGCGTGTCGATTTGAAATTTTCGAGTATTTTTTCCAGCTCTCTAATTAGCTGTTGTCACCCCATAGTCTTATCTCTTTTGGACCTACAGGCTAAAATTTTTTTGACTTTGATCAGGTCTTTTGAATGTTTCAACACCTGATTAATATCGCTCCCGTTTAAACTTCAAATGAGTTTCCTTTTTTATTTTTTTTCTTCTTAATTAAAAAAATGGAGGAGCTGGTGGGAATGAAATAATATGTTATTCTTTTAAGAATTTGCTACAAGTATAAAACTAAAAGATTTTAAATTTTATCTACAAATAATAGTAAATAAAACCAACTCATGTGTAAAACTATCTTCTGTATCAGATACTTATCAAGCCATTTAGACTTATCAATGAGTCTCGTGCAAACAGAAATTTTCAAGTTCGACTTTGGTCCAATTTAAAATATTATTTTTAAATTAATTTTAATTGTAAAATATAAAACATTAATATATAAACTAATATTTTAATAATATTTTTAATATTATCGAGTTCAAATGAACTCGGGTTTAGCACAGGCTTGAGCTTGGCCAAGCCATCAAACCTGGCATGGTATTTAATCAAATCAACAAGCTACGCTTTTTAGGTGGTGTATTTTAGTTATGTTTAATTGTCATAACATTTTAGTAGAAATCTTTGGTTTATTATATATAAATTTTCGGTAAAAAAAAGAATAGAATTCAATTTCGCCCTTCCGTAAGGAATTTGGATTATGCATCTAATTGCAGACAAGTGGATATTTTACTTTTACATAGTTAAATGTTTAAGCATAACTATAGCTATTATATAAATACTAAAAAATTTGACCCATTACGCTAGGATAACATTTTTATTTTAAAAGAATTTTTTTTAAGTTTATTTTAAAAGAATATTAATTACTTGGTTTTGTATATATATTTCATCATGTATGAAAGTATAAAAATGTCACGTACTATTTTTAAAATTTTCATTTTAGGGGTTTTTTTAAAATAAATATATGTAACTATTCAATTTAATTTAATAAACAGTAAATAATTTGATTTTTTTAGGAGTTTTTAAAAAATTATTTATTATTTATTTTCTTTATTTTATTTTTTTAAAGACTAAACCCAAATAAAGATCTAAGAACTCAATTGAATGACATATGTCATTTAATTAGACCTTCAATTAACCCTAACATATAAGGGTAAGCATAAGTAGGTTCTAATCGACTTGTGGATAGAAACCAATTAAGTTTGATCAAGTCAGTTTGTTTAGTTCGATTTTGATAATTATTAGTTAAATAAATCAATTTAATTAATTAATTCAGTTGATTTTTTATTTTTAAAATTAATAATCGAACTAACTGAATTAACAAATTTTTTAATAGATTTTTAAATATATGATATATAAAAAAATATTTTAATTTGTATTGTTAGGAATGACAAATATGACATTAGGGATAAAATTACAAAGTGAGTTTTATTTGGTGAAAATTGTTGAAAAAATTATTATTCAAAATTGGTAGCAAAAGAATGATGAAAAATTTTGATTTTTAACGTATTGAATGACTTTATATGTCAGTTTAGTTATTTTCAATTATTAAAATTAGGCTAGTCAATTCACTTCTTTTTTTCAATGGAGATCGATTAAGTCAATTTTTTATTTTTTTAAAAAAAAAATCAACCGATTGCTCATCTCTACTAAATATACTATTTCAATTAAAAAGATTACTTTTATATATTGTAAAGTCAATTTGATCCAAATTTAAAGTTTAAGTCAAATAACTTATTCATCTCTTATAGAAAATGAATTCATATAAGTTTAGAGTTTGATTCTTATCACTTACAATTTTCTTTTCCTAAATCTCTTTAGCTTCTCGTTTAAAAAAAAAAAAAATCAAATTTGGTATCAGCTAAGCGAAAAAAAAAAAAAAAAAAAACCTATTGAGAGGAGTGTTAGACTTCTTGACACTATTTCAATGGAAAAGGTTAATTTTATATTATGTAGTAATAGATATACGATAATAATTGACCAATCCGTCTGAAAATGTAATGTTCATTAAGGTTTACACTACTGGACTGACATAGAGATATAGTTTACAACTTACCAAGTAATTGTATTTATTATTTATGTTGTTCTGCCTTTATCTTGGGCTAAGCATGATTTATATCCATTAATATATTTAATTAACAAAACTTTCCTTCTTTCTAAGGCAACCACCCGCCAAAAAACCAGCAAATCTGAAGCCTTAAGTTTGATTTGCACTTTCTGACATTCCCGGTGTGCTGGGTAACATGCTTGATTTTCATTGGCCCAGCTGTCTGTGGTCGGCTTGTGGGGCCCGCTAAAGAGCCAGATCCGTACCAACCAATAACTAATTCAAACATCGAAGTATCCAGGTCTCCGAGTTTTTAGCAGGATCCGGGAAGCAACACCGGCCCAACCTCAAGTCTCCACGTGTTTCTGAACACGTGTCTTTAATATCTGGCGCCAAATTGATCCCAAACTGTCTTTTCCAAATCAACTCGGCAGTCGTGTAATCTCACAACTGCCACGTGTCACCCAGATTTTCTCGTTAGCTCCTTGCTATAATTTGGATTGGGATTAGCTGAAAGTCTTCAGTTAAACGAGCTTCGAAAGCCTAAAAAAGCTATTTATGCACATAAAGAAACATACTCCTCTGATCCTTTCTTCCGTATTTTCAATCCCACCAATGATAAAAAATTACAATTGTGTTGAGCGCCGGATTTTGTCATTTCCGGCGGTTCATCCGTGCGAAGCGGTTTCTCCAGCAACTCTTCTCGGCTCCTTAATCACTCTTTCTCAAAATATCAACAATTACCAATCAAAATTCTTAGCCACCCAAAGAAGAAATGCCCGGGAAACGATTCGCCAAATTGGAATCCTCCTTGTGTTTTTCGAGGAAATTCGCGATCGTGGTTTAATTGTTCCAGACTCGGTTGTGCTTTGCTTATCCGAGCTTCATCTTACTTTCCAGAAAATTCGGTTCTTGTTGGAGGATTGCTCGCGAGAAGGAGCAAGGGTATGGATTTTAATGAAGTCAGAGTTGGTGGCCTCCCAATTTCGAGTACTTATTAGAACTGTTGCTACAGCTCTTGATGTTTTGCCATTGAATTTGATCGATGTTTGTGGCGAAGTGAAGGAATTGGTAGAGTTGGTAGCAAAGCAGGCAAGGAAAACGAAAATTGACATTGACCCTGATGATGAAAGAGCCATGAGACGAGTTCTTTCAGTTCTGAACCGATTTGAGAAGGGAATTCAGCCTGAATTTCATATTTTGAAATCGGTTCTTGATTATCTTGAGATCAAAAGATGGAGTGATTGCAACAAGGAAATCAAATTCTTGGAAGAAGAGATTAGCTCTCAATGTGTTGATGGTGAGGAAAGAGAGTTACCATTTCTAAGTAGTTTGTTGGGGTTGATGAGCTACTGCCGGGGAGTTATTTTCGATACATTGGATAATCAAAATTCTGATCAATCAAACGTAAGATGCAACGTGGAGATACTCAGTTGCTTGAATCCTGAAGATTTTCGCTGTCCAATATCACTCGAGCTAATGATTGACCCGGTGACTGTCTCAACTGGACAGACATATGATCGGTCTTCGATACAAAAATGGTTCAAAGCAGGGAATGCGATCTGTCCCAAAACAGGGGAGAAGCTAAAAAACACAGAGTTGGTCCCGAACACAAATCTCCGCAAGCTAATCCATCAGTTTTGTGCAGATAATGGGGTATCTCTTGCCAAAACAGGAAAGCAAAGTCGCGACATAACTAGGACAATTATTCCAGGCAGTCCAGCAGCTGCGGAGGCAATGAAGTTTCTGTCAAAGTTTCTAGCAAGAAAGTTGATTTTTGGACCCAGTGAGCAGAAAAACAAGGCTGCTTATGAGATTCGTTTGCTTGCTAAAGCAAACATTTCTAATAGGTCTTGCCTGATTGAAGCTGGAACGATCCCACCTCTTTTAAACCTCCTATTTTCTTTCGATAAGTCCATGCAAGAGAATGCAATTGCAGCTTTGTTGAAGATCTCAAAGCATGCTAGTGGCAAGAAAGTGATTGTTGAAAGTGGGGGATTGAGATTAATTCTTGCAGTCCTTAAGAGGGGTATAAGTTTGGAAGCAAGGCAAATTGCAGCTGCGACAATATTTTACCTCTCTTCAGTGAAGGGATACAGGAAATTGATCGGAGAAATGCCTGAGGCAATTCCAGCACTTGTGGATCTGATAAAGGAAGGTACGGCATGTGGGAAAAAGAATGCACTGGTAGCACTTTTTGGACTTCTTTTATATCCTGGAAATTATCAAAGAGTGCTAGATGCTGGATGTGTTCCATTGCTCCTTGATATTCTTCTAGCTTCATCCGACAAACATGAGCTTGTAACAGATTCATTAGCTGTTCTTGCAACCTTGGCCGAGAGTTATGATGGAACATTGGCAATTCTCCAGACTTCATCTTTGCCAATAATAACCAGGATTTTGCAGTCTTCAACATCTCAAGCAGGGAAGGAGAATTGTGTTTCAATCTTACTATCTTTGTGTTCCAATGGTGGTGACGAGGCCATCGCTGTTTTGGCTAAGGATGCTTCCATCATGAGTTCCCTATATTCGCTTATAACAGATGGCACAACTTATGCAAGCAAGAAATCACGCTCACTGCTAAAGATTCTTCACAAGTTCCATGAAACAAGCTCATCTGGACAAGGGTGTCAAGCATTTACCCATGAACAATCAGTTCATACTTGGTAGTAATCCAGAATTCTTTTCATTTTCTCGTGTAAATATATACTTACATACGTTTTCGTATGTGGATTCCTTGATCTTTTTAGTCATTAAGATTTGAATCTCAGGACGTTAGCTCAGTTTTTGCAAGAGCTAATGACTGCAAATCATACTTTTTATTAGTAATATGTAATAAAGCTTGGACATGAAAATTTGTATCATGATTCTTTTATAGCAATAAATGATTAAGATTGTGTGAGAGAGGCATGAATAAATTGTCTTCTAAATTATAGCATAATAAAACAAATTCTTTTTATACCCCGTTTTGAACAAGTGTTACAAAAGAGAAAGTTTGAAGACAAAATTATATGATAATAAGATTAGTCAATATAAAATATAATCATATATTTTTTAAAATTAAATAAAATCATGTATTTTGATATATAAAAGAGCCACTATTTTATTCATAAATGCTTCTAAATATTTATATTTTCTTTGGTATCTAAAACGTTTTTTTACCTTGGAAAGTAAAAATTCAATAGAAAAAAACAATGTTGTTTTTATATTTACAAGATATTTAAATCTTCGATTATTATTCATGTATTTTTACATATTAAAAAGTTACATATTCTATACAAAAATCCTTTTAAATTTTTATGTTTTTTATCTAAACACAATTTTTTACCTTTGAAAGTAAAAGTTAAATAGAAAAAAAAAAAACAATGTTCTTTTTATATTTACCGGCATTTAAATCTTCAATTTTATTATTAGTCTATGGGATGGTTAAGGTTTAAATCTTGATTATTAGAACTAACAACTCATTATGTGACCTTGCTATTGGTTTATATTATTATTTTACTTCTATTTAATTTCACTTTAGAAATTATTAATATGGTAGTTATTCTATATAAAAAAAAAAGGTAAAATATACAAATAGTCACTTAATTTTACAATTTTTCTAAAATGGTTATTTATGTATTAATTTTTTTAATTTAATAATTTATTTTTGTATAAGTATTTTTTATCACTCAATCATTACTAATTAATGATGTGTTGACATGGCATTAGTGCCATATGGCATTATCACATCATCTGAGAAGTCATATGACATTAATATGGCTTTATTAAATTTAAAATATAAATAAATTTCAATCATTTAACTTTTTAAGGATTTATATTTTGATCACTCAATTTTAAAAATTTACAATTTGATCACTAAAAAATAAGTCCTCAAATTTTAAAAATAATATATAAATAAGTATTTGATATTATTATTGTATAGAATTAAATTATAAATTTTTTATTTTGTTGTACTTATACCATTTAAATTTGAAAAATAAATGAATGTTATCCACTTGTAAAATTACTAAAATAATGTTATTTTAAATCTTTGTCATTAAGTTTATCTAAATAATCTCAACTAAATATTTTATATTTCATAATGTTAAGAGTTAGTTTTAATTTCATGTAATAAAATATTAAAGTATATACAACGAAATAAAATAAAATAATTTATTATATTAAATTTCATAAACCATTGATAATTAAATCATTATAAAATTACATTGAAGGTGACATTCTAATTTTAATAATTTCACAAATATTAGTGATCAAAATGTAAAATTTTAAAATAGTTACTTGAATTTATTTTGATTAATTGAATGATAAATATTGAAGTAATAATATTTTAGTAATTTTGGCAATCGATTAGTATTCTTTTATTTTTCAAATTTAAATTGTATAATTGCAATAAAATAAAAATTTATAATTTAATTTCATGCAATAAAAATATCAAATATTGATTTCTATGTTGGTAATCACATTATAAATTTTTAAAGTTGAGTGATAAAAATAAAAATTTTAAAAAAGTTAAGTGATTGAAATTTTTTTTAAAAAAATTTATAATATCACATCAATAATGTCATGTATCTTATTAAATAACTTTGCAGTGCCATGTGACACTTGACCTGACAACTAACAACTAACGTAGTAACACCATTTCAACACGTTATTAGACACAAATAGTTGAGTGAAAAAAATACTTACTCAAATTTAAGTAATTAAATTAAAAAATTAATATTCAAGTAACCATTTTAAAAAGATTCTTAAAGTTGAGTGACTCTTTGTATATTTTATCCTATAAAAAAGTGGCGGGTTCTTAATTCATATTAAAGGTGTTCATTTCATTAATTCTTGTAATTTTAAATTGAATTATCTAAAATTAAATTAATCAAATTATTTTATTTTATTGTCATTAGTTGAATTGAATTTATTAATTTAAAAAATCTAACTAGTCGAATTTAATTCAGTTAACATTTTGAATTAACTGAATAATAAAATATATTTAAATTAAATTAAATTTTTAATTTTTAATTTTTCATATTTAAAATAAATTAAATTAAATCAATTAATAAATTATTCAATATCAAAATATCCTGGCAAAAAAAAAAAAAAACCAAAATATCAAGTTAAAAATTCCAACCACTTATAAAATAAAATGGCCAATTTTATATATTTTTATTTTGTATTTGAGTTTCTAAAATTTTGGTTAATGGGATTAATTCTATTTTTTTAATAAACTAACTAAAAATTAAAATTCGTTCAAATTCATTTTTGGATTAAACCAAAATTAATTCTGTAATAGATCCATTAACCAAATCATATATATATATATTATAACATACAAAGTTATATAATAAAATTTGCTTACGTGTAATTTATGTGTACAACTTATTTTGATGATACATAAAATAATTTTAAGTATACAACTAGATAATTTTTCTTAAGGTTTATATGTACACTCTATCTAAATGATAAATAAGATAATTTTTTAATTTTAATTATTTATCAAATAATTTTATTCAATTAATTATTTAATTTTTAAAATTTTAAAATTTCAAAATTAAGTTTATCCAAATCTTTCAATATATATAAATGTTATCCTAAATTTAAGGAAAATAAAACAAATTTCATAACTCACACTCACCTATATAATTCAAAATTCAAATATAACTTTTAAAGTTAAATCACTAAATCTTAGAACCTATATAATTCATACACAATCTAAATTTATAGTTTTATAAATTTAATATAAAAATAGCCTTATAAATTTAAATTAATTAGACTTGGTGGTTGAGTAATTGTAGTTTACCAACATTATTATCTTTTTTCATGATTAAAATAAAAATATCTTATCTCAATTTAAATCGCATGCAAATCTTAATTTAAAATCATACTAATCTTTTTTATCTTGATATAAAAGTACACATTATTATTAAATAATTAAATATTAGGAGATAAGTAAACAAGTTATACAAAAATAAATGAGAGCAATTGAGATGCATCTAAGATTAAACTCACTAATATTTAATCTCAATTGTAAAGGTGGTGACAGATGATACCAAAAGCAAATCAGGTCTCAAAAATGTGGAATAAGGTAGTAGCACTCATAATCTTCAAAGGTAAAAATATATGCATGACCATCAACTTTAATTTATTATTTTTCGTGTTGCACATTTTTTATTTTCTGCTTTCTTTTTTTCTATATTTCTTGCTCTTTTTATTATACATTAATTATCATATTAATCTTGATTTCTTTGAGATTTGCTTTTAATCTATTGCAAGTGTCCATTTGATCTATTATATGCCTATATGCCTTTTTGGAATTTTTATTTTTTATGTATAAGCTCTTTTTAAATTATTACTTGCACATTATATAATAATGTGTTCATTATAATTAATCAATAAATTGAACATGATAAGTTTTGTCTAGATTTTTTTAAATTTTTTAATATTTGCAAAAAAAATTCTTTTTTCTTTTTTACTTGGTTGTTTTTAGGAAATTTTATTTTTTTAGATAAAAAGAATAAGAATTTTCTTTCCTAATTTTTATTTTTTAATTTGCCTCTTGTAAAGGTTGATTTTAGTGTAATTCTTTTCTAATTTACATTTTATTTGTATATTTTCATTTTAATTGCATACTTGGCTAGAAATCAATTAGAATATTTAATTATCACAATAATATCTTTATCAAAATCATTGATTCAAATTTCATTACTCAATGTCACCATTTCAATATTATATGTAGTATATACTATATGTTAAAAGATCATTTTGAATCAAGCCTTCACATTTTGATCTTTATATATGATTATATTTTCTTATTTATCTTTCTCAACTTTAATGGTTGTGTAGGATTGTAAATTAAATGAATTATATATTAAAAGATTTTAAAGAAAGCAAAGAATAATATGAATTTGAGTATGAAATATAAGATAATGAAAAAGATTTTAAAAGTATATAGTTTGAACCTTTATTTGAGTTTTAATCAAAGTTATCAATACTGTACAAGACAATATTTCAATTTACTTTAAAAATGGTATATATTGGTACTAGTGGTTTCAGAATTTTTTTTAGATTTTTTGATTTAGTATAAATATATTTCTAAATATATATGAATTTGTACATTCTAATACTATTAATAATCTACAAAATAAATATATAATATCTTAAAAAATTAAATAAATAAGTTTAAACGTATAAAAATAATATCATAAAATTTTTCATGATACTGTTAAACACTTAATCTTATTATATGATATTTAAATAAGTATTTTTATGCAAATATTAAGATAAAAACAAAGAGAAAAAAAATTAACCTTAGCTTCATGATTTTTAAACTTTAGAAATGGAGTACAATTACTTTTTTTTAAAGAGATTGAAATACTTATGAACTTTGGCTTGAAAAAATAAAGTATAAAAGAAAATAAGTTACAATAAAAAATATAACAATTCAACTTTTAAGGGTTATTTTATCAATTAATTTTATTTTTATTAGCTTAAAAATAATCAAACAACAAAAAACAAATTATAAATTATAAAGCATGTTTTACATTTACATATAGGTCAAAATAAGTTAATTCATTGAAACTAGTCAAAACCAATGAAAACAACTACTATTACTCGATCCAAATCCGGTACGAAAAATATTCTTAAGTGTATCATATTTTGATATAACTATAGCATATCAACTAGTACCATAATGAACAATTATGGTTTTAGTGCATATATTAATTATCTCCCTAAATTGCTTGACTTTCAATATCATTTTGAAAAAGTTTTATTTCTTGAAAACAAAAGTGAATACAAATGATTATTAAAGAAGTATAAATGAAAATAATGAAAACCAATAAAGATATCTAATAATTAAAAAAATAAATAAAACCAAATCTATTTTTATTTTGCAACAAATAAACTTTAAG